TTACTGTTCTTAGAAGCGTCAACTCCGAAACAGCTATAACTACCTTTAAGAGTAAGCTCTCATGTATGTAGCTTCACCGCACTGGATTGTGAGCCAATGTTTCGCAATCGTCAAGACACCGTAGCCAAAATGCGTTAATGGCTAAGGTGTCTACGCGGCGCTAATCTAAGCTAAGTTTCGAATACTTTCTCTCGCTCCACGTAATGTCTGCTAACTCACTTAACAAACAGGATCAGCTCCAGAGACGATCTAACTAAAGCAAGATAGCTCCCAAAGCCCCGACAAATGCTAGCGTAACCTAAAGTAGTCTGGTCTAAACATACTGTTTGGAATTCGGCTGACCAGTGATCCTCGTCAGCTTGGTAGACTTAGTCGGAACCCTGAGCAGATTGGCTATGGCGTTCCATTGGCTTAAGGATGTTCAACTGCCTTCCTTTCAATGGATCCGATGTTGAACTTGTAATGTAGTGAGCTTGCAGCAATCCGGGATTTCTGTGTGTCATGTGGTAGAGTACGAATGGTGCGATCTGCTAATTCCCAGTGCATCATCGCCTATCCCGTTAGCCTTGGGTGTGAGAACAAATAGCATTGGAGTGCCCTTGGATGCAATAATGTCCCATCTGTCACTGATATGGCTTTGCTTCTTGCGTTCCCGCGAAGCTTAATGGGCGTAAATGAGGTTAGGGAAATGATTGAATATGCGCCAGATAAAAGTTGGCCAAACGCTGGGCGGTCTATGATAGTGTCTGTAACGGGGTTTAGGAAACCAGTCCAGTATGCTCGACCTTACCACCTAAGCGCAGGTTACCGGAGTCAGCGGATCAGTTCGATCGAGAGAACGCGTGAACCCACCGGGAGACACAGCGATGGCTGGACAGCGAATCACGAGTGGCATACGTATCCCGAAACCGACAAACCGGATTGGATAATAGAACATAGAGGGCGCACTGGCAACTCGAGAATCGCTATTAACGGCAATTTGCAGAGTGCAAAGCCAAATATGAGCGGTCCAAAGAAATACGGCCAATCAGATGCCGAGCACGAAAGACGTGATCATTGTGCGAGACAGGAAGACAGCGACCGAAGAGGAATATCATAACCCAATGAAATAAAAGGGGAACGCAACCAATGAGGTGAGCCGAAAAACGGGAGACCCACTGAGAAGGCTCGAAGATTAACAGTGTTTATTTCTTTAAATAGGCCACACTATGCTGAATAAACGCCTGTTTTCCGCCCGCCGCCATCGTGACTTTTTGATCGTGTCCGTGTCACTTAACAGTGTCGAGTATTTTGCTTACCGTGTTTTCATAGGTCAATTTGGTAGTGTAACTTCCGATGTGTTGTAATTGAGGGAACGTCTCTGTTATGATTGCGTAACGCCTGCGAAGATTGCCACTGGCACGGTTGGAACACGCCTACGGTAACGGCTTGGAAACCTGACCAAACGAACGGATTTGCGCTCACCTGATGTTGTTAGCTTAGCCCGGGGTGAGATGGAAATTGAGCGAGCGTGAGAAGGTCCTAGCTGCACGTATTCGGGTAGGTGCTGAACCCTCGGAACGGATACACATGAGCGGGGGTTATGGTAGACGTGCGCTAGTGAGTTAGACGCGAACGCTACCCGGTTAACGACGCACACAGAATCGCGTGACCCGACCGACTCCCAACCGAGGCGAAGAGGAAGAAAGGCACGTGGTCCACTGAAGGCTCTTTTACGCCCAACACAGAGCAAATCACAGCCAATGCTTTGGATAATTAAGTTAGGGAAATTAGCAACCACGGCGGTCGTAGTTTGTAGAACATTGTCAACTGGTGCGCAGTTGGGCCGCGTGTCGGAGTGACTGAACACTGCTACGTTGTGAGGAGGAATTGGACCCCACTTTCCATAGCCATTATGCCTGGGGTTACTGGCGCATTTTTTCGAGGATATTTGACGGGCCCCCAACACGATGTCGCGGAGTAAGTTACCTATTTAATTTAGTTTAGAGACACGGGTCATATAATATACCTTCTTCCTTCCTACTGAAGTGAGTCAGTTATATCTGCCAGACTTCCATGCTTCTGGGACAGTTCAACTACAGTCTTAAACTAAGATGGAATTACACTTCACACATAATCTATACAAGTCTGGCCTGCAGCTGTGCATACTCAGCCTGCCTAGCTTCAATTTTTCGCATTTTGCGTGGAAATAGGTTCAGATTAACGTTGGTAATTAGTTTACTCCTAAGTCCAAGTAAATGGTCAGGTATTTTGTTGCCGGGACAAGTGCCTATCTCCATCACTGCGGCTGCATGCGCGTTGCAGTATTCTGCGCTCAATCGCCTAGACGGCTTTCCAACACACCCACACAAAAAGCATAATGCATACCCATCGTTTTAGGTCATGTGATGAAACCGAGCGAGGAGCCGAAAAGCACTGGTTTTACAGCGGTGTTTAATGCAGGGCAGACGCAAGCACGTCCGGTAGCCTACTCATGCTGCAGCCCGTAGAAATTGCCGTGTAATTCTCTTACAGGGCCTTTAGTTTACTGTCCAAATGTTAGCTAGTTTGTTTTTTAACTGAGTAGGTGTGAGGTAGTTAATCGCGTAGGTACCAAGTCTATAAGCTATCGCGACTCTATGATCCGCACAGGTTAGGTTAAGTGGGAGGTGAACACGGGGTGGCACTCGTCAAAGTTTATAGAATAAGCGTAAGAAAACGAATGTGTACAGGATTCATAAATTTATTTGCGGATGAAAGTAGAATGCGGATAGCATGTGGCCTTACAGTGACGACTTTTATCACCTAGTTAACTGTGCTTAAATTATTTACTCGCACTAATACACACAAACAGATAAACTGACTGAAGTAAGAGGGCAGATAGAGTACGTTCCTAAGGCAGACTGACACGATCTACCAGAGGTCTACTTGTGGGGATGAGTAGGTGGACATGCGAAGCGGAATGACATGGATTATGGGAAAAGATTTTAGCAAATAGCAATTGAAATTTTCACCCTGCCTGTATAGATTTAATTGAACCACTGTAGATTGTTAATCCAAGGAAGCTAATTAATTGCAAATATCCAACCATATCCGTTTATGTAACAACCTTTGTAGAGGTCAGCGTATTATCCATAATACTTTGTGAAAATGACCAAGGTGAGGGTGCAGCTCACTTAGTTTAGAAAGACTTTCCAGGAATTTGTTTCTCAAAGTGCTGCGTGTAACCTCATTGAACATCATAAGTAAGCATGCGGACAAAGTTGCCCTGCCTGCACATCGACTGAAGCCGTTACTCAACATTCGTACGAAAGATGTCCAATTTTGCTTTAATGGGGATATGTATCGTCACATTGAAGGCATGGTGATGGGTAGCCCTCTCGGACCGATTCTAGGTGACATCTTTACGGGTCATTTGGAGAGTAAGTTATTACGCGATGTCACTGGAGCAACACACTTTTACACAAAGTATATCGACGACACCTTCGTTGTAGTTGACACTGTACAACAAGCGAAAATCCTTTTGGAAACGTTAAATAAATGTCCTCTTAACATCAAATTCACTATGGAAAGTGAATCGGAGGATTCCTTTCATTTTCTTGACGTTTCACTTAAAAGAAGAGCAGATGGTTCACTCGAAAGATCGATTTAACGGAAACCGAGCTGGACTGGACAATACCTACATTTCAACGGTTACTGTCCAATCAACTATAAACAATCCCTAGTTCGAACTTGTTTTGGTAGTGCACACCGAATATTCTCTGAAGAGTCAATGAAGGCTGAATTACCATACATCGAAGCTAACCTAAGTAATAATAGCTATCCTAATAAATGCATCGCCAGGTATGGGAATGAGGCTGCTGAGAAAGAAACGTGAATGGACGTCCCAAAGAAGAAGGTCTTCATCACGCTACAATACAAAGGGGAACAGAACAATAGAAGATTGTGCTACCGATTGCGCCCAGCCATTAGAGGTGCTACTACGCAGCTGAACTCGTGTTGTTACGTCAAACCAAGAAGCTGTTCCATGAATCCAAGTTGGATAGGCCTCATTCTCAGGTTACCGTCTCATGTGTTTATCATTTCACCTGTACTTGAGGTAGCATGTACATTAGCCGAACCGAGAGAAGGCTATCAACCAGGATCATGGAACATGTTCCACGAAACCTGGCAAATACTGGACCTAAACTCCCTACCAGCACCATCGCTCAACATCTGCTCGATTGTACCTTGTGCGAAAACCCACGTGACGCATTCAAGGTTATCAGCAGAAGAAACAACGCGAGCTTGCTTCGTTTCACTGAAGCCTCGGCCATCCGAAGAATGAAACCAAACCTTTACAAACTGGTAGACCTTGTGGCCAGTCTTGCCTTGCCCTGGTAAGACGCAGGCAATGACCTTGGTTTGCTTAGTGCTTTACTGATTTCCGATTGACCCCTTTTTCAATTGTATTCCTTTACTGTTTCCACGATTTGTCTGTAAGCGGCTGAATGAGAAGACACGAAATAATCTGAACTCAGGTTATCCCGCATAAATGTTGTTCGTTCTTGCTCTCTGGATATTATCCGTAATTCTTGCACTCAGTTGTTGGCCATTTGCGGAATAAGTGCCAAAAACTTGCGTAAAATTAAGCCACAAATTATTCAATGGCTCGGTTTTGATTCTATACTTTAACTAAACTCTCACAATCTTTGTTAAAAATAAGCAAAGAATGAAATGTTCAGTTAGTCTGCATTCACATTAACTAATACAGAATAAACCGTCCATCAGAGAAACCAAGCAAAATCATCTAGGGAAACTTTGAAATTCTCCGCTTGATGGAAGCTTCATGTACAAAACTAGAAGCCTTGGAACACCATAACATTTGGCACCAGCGTGTATGATTTGTGAGGTATCAAGAACGGATGTTACTTGAATATTTGACTCCTTCGTTTAACCATCTTAGACACATACTGTTGAAGCAGTTGCGTTTTTGTTTTTGGTCTCATTCCTATACACTTCATCTATCTCTCTCCTAGCTAATGTTAGAGTTATTGGATTTGTCATCCTTGCAATCGGTTCGTCAATTTGCCGCTCGCATCTGCTCGACGCAGAACAAACTAGATTTTCTTATTAACAACGCTGGAATAGTTCGAAGAGGATACGCTAAGTCAGTTGATGGATTCGAGCTAACCATGGCGACGAATTATTTGGGTCCATTTCTGCTCACCGAACTGTTGCTTCCGTTGATGGAGCGCGCAGGCCAAGCTAGAGTGATCAACGTGTCATCAGTGGGACATTATGGAAGCAAAGTTTGGAAACCGGAATTTTTCATACCCGAAAAGGAATACTCCGATACGAAAGCCTACGATTGGTCAAAGCTTGCCAGTGTGATGCACGCAAGGGAGCTGAGCAAACGACTTGACGGTACTGGAGTGGTTGCAGTCAGTCTCTACCCAGGATTCGTAAAGACGGAATCGAAAAGAGTTTCGGACGGATTCTTTGCTGTGAGTATCGTTTGTAACACTTCCTCTATAAATTAGGCTAAATCATTGAGACGTTATTCAGCTCAAAGTTATCTATTTAGCTATGTCTGGGTTGTTCTTTCATTTTCCACGGTAACAATTGCACGAGGAATGGTCTTCTCGACAATGCACTTCAGGCAACTGTGATTGTAAATCAAAATAATGACTTTCCTAGGCTCAAAAAACGTTATCACATGTTGATTGGCTGATTGTTCGCTGAGCTCGGCAGGTTGACTGCAAACGTTTCGTCACCACTCGAGGTGACATCGTCAGTGCGAGTGTATTTAGCAGTGTGGCGCGTACGAAGCGTCGGTGAGTGTGAGTGATCGATCTCCTAGCCGCTTGTCTGTATAAATGAACACAGAATAAGTAACACATATGACCAGATGGTTGGCTAAGCGGTAGGTAATATCAATCAATGACTTGGTCAAGCTGACCAGGCAGCATATATAAACAGGTGCGGTCAGCGTTGGACAATTACTGTTATAGCGAACTCAACGCCGAGGCACCATCACAACTTGCAACCAAGTCCGCTGTTTGCACAACTCTGGTTTTAACAGCCTGGTTTCTATGGGTTTTACGCTGATGAATAGGTGTTTCTTAAGCTACTTTGGGTAGCGTCTACAGACGGTCTAGACTACTAAAATGAATTCTTTCATCCGAACTTGTTGACCAGTCTCAATCAAGTGTTGTGGTATAGAACAGCTGATGTTCATACTCATGCTTCTCCGCAATGATCCAGGACAGTGTTCGGCAATCCTTTTTGAACAAACACCTAGTCCTGTGTTCAAGATACTTTGCACCACAGGTGTATAGATAGTGCGTAGTTAAATTCTCCGATTGGATAATTTGTTTAAGCTAAAGCCGGAAGTGACGATGCATAAGAGCGCATGCAAGTTCCTATCCGCGCTGCTCTGTATCTTGCGTCGTTGCAGTCCAGGACATTGACATCTGGTGCGGTTACTTGTAAAGTCGAATGAAGTGTTGTGTCGAATTTCGCAGCGTATGGAAGCTGTGACAAGAAAGAGCTTTAATCACTTCAGTCAACATTGGAACAAGACCACAGAATGTGTAGTGTGAACATCTTCCGCTTTAATCATTATTGGCCGTCCAGAATTCACATCATTGTTGGAACCAAACAGCATTATTCCAAAAGTTTTAGAATACAATTCAGTTTTTAGAATTATTTTATCTACATCTCGTAGTTTATAGTTTAGGGACAGCATTCGGCATCCTCCAAATTAAGCTTTACTTCATCTAGTTCGATGATTAAACCTGCCATTTTTGAGAAAAGTCAAGAGTTCCTTACGAACGTGCAGGTTAGCACAGCCGTTGACCTCAGTGAACCTGACAAATAACTGTCTAGTTGGTGGTTTGGAGAAAGATGCCATCAGTCATGGACGGACTAAGAACCTTGGACTTAGGGGGCTTCAATAGACCGTAAATCCTCCTAGGGAGAGTTAATGTCGGGTACATCATTTACCATTCAGCTGACCCTAGGTATTGATTCACATAGCTCAGGTTTCTGCCAAATTCTGTTTTATACATTCTAACTATCAATGATTCCTTTGTTCTAAATCCAATTGTATGACCATGCTCTTAGATATTTCACAGAAATGTACTTATTCATATTCAACGATGTCCTCTAAATCGGCTTTGGGAATATATTAGTAATGCTTGCTGTTTACGGCCTTTAATGGGGTACGCATTGGTGTCGCAAGGTTTGATATCCTCGGTCGTTAAAATATGACCGTCCAACTCCTATGCGCCAATTTGTTCAGTGTTTGAAAATGGTAAGTTGGTAACCACGGCCTCAGAATCCGGAAAGAATTCTTCTGTACCTATATTCGAAGTAACCACAGAAAATGTCAAAACCTTTTCCAATATTCTACATTCGTTATACTAAACATGCTGTCCAACGTATAATGTACACTGGAATTGTTCATGCTAGATTCAGACACTAGGAGGAAAGCTGGTCTTGGCATCCATAGACCACATGATACAAATACTGTTTGGTCTTCTTTTCAATGATTTCCTTTGTGTTAACTAAAAGTCCAGGGCTTTGTTATAAATTAATAACCCTGACCACTTCGTAATGATCAGAAGCCTCGAGCTCCATCAAACAGCGCAAACGCATGCTTTATTCCAACGTCACTGTCAGAAAACTCTGTCATCTTAAATACGCTCGGCGTATTTTGAAGGACACTTTGACTCACACTCAGGATTCCTCCGGTAGATGGGCTACGAGAATTCTATACCATTTCCGATCCATGTTAGGCCATACAGGTAACAACTTGAGATAAACTGAGAGCAACTTCCTAGGTCATGCTAACAGGCTGCTCCTCCGATGAACCAAGCTGAGCCAGGCGAATGTGACATGCGCGCACCGCCGTGCGCGTGGTTCCTTAGAAAAGCGATGCCCGAAAATAGCATATCGGAATCATAACAAATACAGCAACATGTAGGCTTGTGTAGGGCATGTGGGTGTAGGGGAATCAGTACAGCCCGGAGTTGCTCGTGTGCAACTTGTCACATGGGCGGTGACGGATTACATGACGGGGGATGAATGTCCCAGCTGTTGAATACCTGAGGTCACCCAGGTCAGGCTAAGAGGAAACAGGTTAGTGTATGATAAGGATAAGGAATTTGAGCGCGATTCATAGCACTATTATAACAGAGCCTGTTATCGAATAGGGTCACTGGCTACTCACATTCTGACACGGCTCACAATCCGTTTTACTAAGCTAAAACCCAGGCGCTTGTCCGTACAATCTATCGCGCGCTGTGAACACATGGCGTGCACGGGGCAATAGGCACAATGCGATTGGCGCATGGAAGCGCGGTGGCCACCGGTTACTTTGGTCACACCGCTAAATCGTATGTGCAACGGTGGACATAGACACCTTCACTGGTGCAATGGTAGCAATGCAGAAATCTTCCTGGCGTCCTGCGATTGCGATGGGCGACGTATCAACGTGGACAATAAGATTGTAATGCAGCTGATAAATGTGTTGTTTTAGTGCTTGTTCCACGGCTAGGCCGTAATGCGCCTCAAATCATCGTGTAAAACTTACATTGAATAATGTTTAGTAGGGGAAATGCAGTCAGCGCTCAACGAGTCCCGTTGGTTGGTAGGGTGTAGCTCACAAAATCCCAAGATTATAGTGAATTCACAGTTAGCCGTATACTAATGCTGTGGTGATACCATGATGTGCTATGGGTAGAGAAGTAGGGATGCAAGAGGAAGCGGGGAATGAGATGTCTACACAGGGAGCGGCTTACCGGTTCGTTTTACGCTGTCGCATTCTCCCTCAGATTGCGAATCGAGGAATGCCTCCTTACTGGGGGCATGTGTGAATGAGTCTCGCTTGTTCCGCATGTGTGCCTAATAGGCAACCATGGGCAATCAGCGCAGCATCTCAGACAATGGTGATTAATCTACTGATACCCATCGTCCTCAGAGTCAGAATCAGGGGATCAAAGTTTTGTTACGACGCCATTAGCTCATGTGGGTATTTTGGAGATACAGCACACATAAATACCAAGTGAGTGAATTGTGAGATGCAAAGCTGCTCGCTGGTCTATCTGACCTAGAGTGCGGATGTGATAAGAACCAATTTGAAGTGAGACTAGGCCTGATTGAAGAGACAGGTATATCGATGTTAGAAGCTGTGAGGTGAGTGACAGTATCTTGCTCCGTCGATGTGGAAGAAGAGGGGAAAAAGAGTGAATAGCGAGAGCGTATTTCTTTACAATGTGCTGAAGTATCGGCTCTCAGTGATGCTGTGCCACGCACGCTCGTGCTTCAGACACTACCTTCTCCAGAAATCATGTCCGCCACTCGCCTTTGCTTAGAACACCTGCAGGGTCACCTCTGAGCATTGCACCTTAGCTCGCTTTCATTTTTTGCTTCAAAAGACTTGATAATACTCCAGCTGCCCTCGATGAAGTTAAGTGATGGAGAGTATGAGGCCGGTGGCAGAAGTATCCCTAATTGGTTATTATCCTCCAAAAATAGTTGCTCCAGGTCCTTGTGGCATGGCGCATTATCGCAAATCAAAAGACAGCTTTCGATAAATGGGGAACTGTTAATGTCAAACAGTTGACGCAGTCACTGAGCGCACCTAGTTTAGTTGTAGCTGCCTATTAAAACGGAGATAGCTATCAGGTAATTCTTCCTCATGGCGTCGACTAGGTGTACATTCTGACACCTACTATCCGCCATGGCGCATTGCGCCCGAGTACCACAAAGTGAGCGGCCCCTGCTGCGCCCGCAGAAAAGCTTGCAATTGGTTTCATCTATCCACACTGTCTATCTTCCTTCTACCTCCAAATGCATCAGATGCAGCACAAATGTTTTCTGTCGCCCCTTGTTCTCTAACGTGTTTAGAGACTCCGGAATAGCGTGCAACTCGTTCATGGTTATTAATCGGCCGTCTAAGTACCCTGCGACGGCAGTGGTGCATACCTCAACTGAAAACTGGCTTTCAATCGTAATCGAAGAGTTTCAACCAGAGCGTCGACAGAACTTTATGCCAAAGCTCCACGGTGAACCCCTCCATGCTGTCCCCTAGGTTCGGTTGACTCCTACATATGAATCAAGCTGCGGCGGGTTTTCAGGTTTACGTTAAGCACACTAACGATCTGCTTCCAAGCCGCTCTCTCCCCATAGTTTTAAGTATGCTGCTCTTCGCTACCATGGAATGGTGAGCATACCGTCCTGTTCGTATCATCGCTTTTCGGCAAACTGCTCGTTCGCAGTGCTACTGATAATTTACTTCCCTACGTCTCACGTTACTACTCCCCACCCAGGTTGCCCGAGTGTTGGGCTCAACCATTTACCTCTGTCCTACCTCGCGAAACTGGCTGTCTCATTGACCCAAAGCTGGTCAGCTTTTTACGGTCAGTCATCTGCCTGTTGGCGTTGCCTATTCGTCATCGCAGCAAGACCCCGTGAGCAGGTGATCTTTCCTTGTGGCCAC